CCAAGCTCTACTCAAATCATGTTTCCACATTCAGCATAAAGACAGAACTGGTGGGCACACAGCTGGCTCAGTCAGTTGAGGTCCCGACTCTTGGTTTCTGCTCAGGTCACGATCTTGGGGTCATGGGATGGAGCCCCACGCCAGGCTCCACACTCAGCAGTAAGTCTGCTTGAGATTCTCTCTCCCTCCTCCCCAGTACTGCTCCCACTCATGTGCACATGCACACTCTCTAATAAATACACAAATCTTAAAAAAAAAAAAAAAAATAGAACTGGTAAATGGCAGAGCTAATACTGGGTCTGGATAAGACTCTAAATGTTATTAGCTTTTTCTCTTAAGTTATACAGAGCCGTCATTTCTCTGTACTTCTCCTAGAAGTGAACCATTCCACAGCATATTACAAGAATGCAAATCAGAAAGTAAAAGCAGAAAAAAACAGCTGCGTATACTGTCATGAAAAGAGATAGTAAGGGAGAAATAGGTTTTTTTTAAATTTAGACATAGTAACAGCTATGTAACAGGGAAGGATAAGTTTACAGAGTATAAGGTAAATGCTGCAACCCAGTACAATATATCAAAAAAATTTTTTTTAAGTAACAACTTTGACCCTGCAATTGTACCTTAGGCATCTGAGGAATATGTAAAAATGTTCATTACCATTTGTTTATAGCAGAAAAAAATATTCATCAGGGAAACAAGTAAACATGACACATATAAAATACTTTGTAGCCACTCATCTACTAATGGAAAGAGGTCTATCATGGGGTACTTGGAATCCCAGTTACTAAACAACTTATAAAACTATTCTATTTATGTGAGACATTAATAATTTATGGGAATGAAATGTCTGGACAACATATACTCATTTTTTTTAATTTTTTATTGTTATGTTTATCACCATACATTACATCATTAGTTTTTGATAACACATACTCATTTTTCCATGACAGAATTCTGAGTCACTTCTGCTTTCTTATTTATCCTTTTCTGTATTTTTGAACTGAACACTTTAACTGCAGGTACATGATGGCACAATAACAACTTTTTTTAGATGATGTATTACTTTTAAAATCAGGTAATGTTAACATTTTTTCAATTTAGACAGAAAGTTGTTATCTTCAGAACTGGTATTTCAAACAAATGCCACAAAATACAAGAAAGCTAATTAATCGTAATTTCACCTAATAGGCCCTGGATACTATTTGTATCTGCCTTTTGTGAAAATGTGAATACTATAAAGTCACAGTATACTAAAGATACTAAACTAAACTAAAGATACTTTTGTGAAAATGTGAATACTATAAAGTCACAGTATACTAAAGATACTAAACTAAACTAAAGATACTTTTGTGAAAATGTGAATACTATAAAATCACAGTAATGGTCAGTATTAATTCAATAACCCAAAAGTTGGGTGACACTTTATCAAACTGGTTCACCTCTGAAAATGCAAGGGGGCACTATATAAAGAATTAGGCTGGACACAGGTAACCTGTGAGACTAAACTGAGCAAATTAGGGCATAAAAGTCATCACATCCATAGCTTACTAGATTCTGAACTGCAGAGTAAGAATTCAAGAGGGGAGATGAACCATGAGAGACTATGGACTCTGAGAAACAAACTGACGGTTCTAGAGGGGAGGGCGGTGGGGGGATGGGTTAGCCTGGTGATGGGTATTAAGGAGGGCACGTTCTGCATGGAGCACTGGATGTTATACGCAAACAATGAATCATGGCGCACTACATCAAAAACTAATGATGTAATGTATGGTGATTAACATAACAATAATAAAAAAAAAGAATTCAAGAATTTACGTCAAGTTGAGGGTAATAAATCTTTAGAGCAATGTCAAAACGATGTATTACAAGACAGTTAGGTGTGAATTCTTGGTAACAGTGGGTCTCAAGTGGCTACACCAGTCAGTATTATCCAGCAAACTTTCAAACCTAACATTCCTGGGACCCTTCCTTTGAGACTCTGATTGAGTAGATCTATAATGGGGTCTAATAAGCTGTTTTTGTTGAATGATTTCTTTTCATTCTACAAGTTAATTTTATGTGTCAACTTGACTGGGCTAAGGAATGCCCAGACAGCTGATTATTTCTAGGTGTGAGGGTGTTTCCAGAAGAGATAAGCATTTGAATCAGGCTGAGTAAGAAAGACCCCCCTCCCCAGTGCTGGAGGGCCTGAGTAGAACAAAAGGCAGAGGAAGGGCAAATTTGTGCACCGGATTAAACTGGGGCATCTGTCTTCTCCTTCCCTGGTTCTCAGGCCTCAGAGTAAGACTACGCCATTGGCCCCTGGTTGTCAGGCCTCTGAAGACTTTGGATTTGGACTGGTACTACACACTGGCTTCCCTGGGACTCCCGCCTGTAGACGGAAGACTGTGGGACTTCTCAGCCTCCACTTGATAGAATACCTTATAATAAATCTTTCTATGTATCTATATATATCCTATTGGTTCCACTCTTCTGGAGGACTCCAATGCACACACCAATTGAGAACTGCCCCTCTAAGAACTGCCCCTCAGACCTGAACCTACATATCACCTGGAAATCTTATTAAAATAAAACCTTATTCAGTAAAGGTGAGGTGAGGCATTTCTAACAAGTTCCCAGTGGTGCAGATGACCCTAGTCCTGGTTGGTGGGCCACACTGATTGGCCTGGCTTACTCGCAAAGGCCACATTTTACCCATCCGCTTCTTCCCCAAAGTGAACAAATGTTAAATCAAGTGGAGAAACACATTCTATTTTCTGATCAGCATTACAACCAAGGAGGTAATACTTCTTGATTTAAGCTAAACAATTCAATTTTTAATATCTGCATTAGAACATGGAATGTTTAAAACTTAAATTAACTAAGACAATAAGAAGTACTGAAAATATGCAGAAATTAGAGTAATTTAAAAGCTTTTTACAAATTGTAACATAAAGAGAAAAATCGTATCTGGTGACAGGAAGTTTCAATAAAAAGGGATTTTTCTGTCTCCAAGACTGACAACATGGATTATCACCCCGTCCCAGGATCACAGAAGGAGAAGGTTTCTACTCAATGCTGACTCACCCTTGTGTACAAATTTCACATTTTAGGGCGCCTGGGTGGCTCGTGGCTCAGTTGGTTAAGCAACTGCCTTCGGCTCAGGTCATGATCCTGGAGTCCCAGGATCAAGTCCCACATCGGGCTCCCTGCTTGGCGAGGAGCCTGCTTCTCCCTCTAACCCTCCCCCCTCTCACGTACTCTCTCTCATTCTCGCTCTCTCAAATAAATAAATAAAATCTTCAAAAAAAAAATTTCACATTTTATATCACATTAAAACAATACACAAAATAAATACTTCATAAATAGCTAATGAAGAACCTAACAATCGATAAACTTCATCATGCAAAAATAAGCAACATTTATATTGCTATATATAGCTGCTGTATTTACAATTAGATTTAAATAGGAAAAGCAAAAGAACATTTCTCTATGAAAGAAGTCTCACGATGCCAAAGACAACCTGTCTCAGAAAGTTCCGTCCCTATTTGTTAACCAAACAAGGCTCAAATTTCAAATCCTTCTTGAAATCAAACCTATACAAATGTCATTGCAAAAATAAATAGGCTGATGCAACAGATGACATCAGCTGGAGTTGTGTTTACAGGTCTATCAATCTTTTTTTTTTTTTTTTAAAGATTTTATTTATTTATTTGACAGAGAGAGACACAGCGAGAGAGGGAACACCAGCAGGGTGAGGGGGAGAGGGAGAAGCAGGCTCCCCGCAGAGCAGGGAGCCCAATGTGGGACTTGATCCCAGGACCCTGGGATCATGACCTGAGCCGAAGGCAGTCGCTTAACCGACTGAGCCACCCAGGTGCCCCAGGTCTATCAATCTTAAGCATTAAGCCTTGACCTTAACATCAAGCACTGTGTCGTACTCTTTGTATTTGTGTGTTAAGCAAATTTGGATAGAACTAATAAAACTCCCTAATCTCTCCCTCCCCCAAGATTTATAGCCCTGTACTGAACTAAGTTAGGTACCCTGCTAATTAGTCTCACTATGCTCATTACATCCACCAGGAGTAATTAGTAGCACTTATTTGTAATAATCTAATTACGTTATTTGGGGGAGGGATTCTCATTCACTTAACATGGAACTCCATGAGGGCACACACACACGTACTGATAACTGCGGTAGCCCCAGTGCCTAGCAGGGCACCAATAATTACTCATAGGTTAGGTGGCTGAAGGAATAAATAAATGGATGGTGTCTAAAACACAGTACAGGGCGACTGGGTGGCTCAGTCGTTAGGCGTCTGCCTTTAGCTCAGGTCATGATCCCAGGGTCCTGGGATTGAGCCCCACATCAGGCTCCCTGCTCGGCGGGAAGCCTGCTTCTCCCTCTCCCACTCCCCCTGCTTGTGTTCCTGCTCTCGCTGTCTCTCTCTCTGTCAAATAAATAAAATCTTTTAAATAAATAAATAAATAAAAAATAAAACACAGTACATAATGTTCACTGAATTCATTAACAAGAAAGGGCTTATTTTCTTATTTCTTTGTTACCAGATACAGGAAACTCTACGTAACATAAATCCTGAAGTAGACACTGCAAATTCCACTTGTATCAATAAAGCTCACCTCTGACATGTGCAGCAATTTACACACCAGTGTCACCAGCATAATGCGGCTGTGACCGGCACTTAAATCACAATGTTCCTTTCTATTCTCCTTATCAATTTATTTTTTACCTCTGTAAGTGCATACGCACTTATAATAAAGAGAGCTAAAGAGATGGCAGTCCCTTCTCTAAAACACTGCATTTGTTATTGCATTAACTCACCTCAAAAATATTGTAAGTCTCAGGGCGCCTGGGTCTGTCAGTCATTAAGCGTCTGCCTTCGGCTCAGGTCATGATCCCGGGGTCCTGGGATCGAGCCCCGCATCGGGCTCCCTGCTTCTCCCTCTCCCACTCCCCCTGCTTGTGTTCCCTCTCTCACTGTGTCTCTCTCTGTCAAATAAATAAATAACATCTAAAAAAAAAAATTACAAGTCTCTCTCACAGCTGCTATAGCTCTTACTGATCTCTGAATCAAGTTTGCTGCTTTTTCTTTAGAGCACTGACTAATGAACCTATCGCATGGGCAAAGACCCTATCAATATCGTCGTCCTTAGCCACGTGGACTCTGGCAAGTCCACCCCCGCCAGGCATCTAGCTCATCTACAAGCTGGGGAGCACTGATGAAAGAACCACTGAGACGTTCAAGGAGGAGGCAGGAGTGATGAGCAAGGGCTCCTTCAAATATGCCCAGGTGCGGGACAAGCTGAAGGTGGAGGGACAGTGTGGCATCACCACTCCCATCTCCCTATGGAAGTCAGACTAGCCACCATGCCATCACCATCATCAATGCCCCAGGCCCCGGGGACTTCATCAAGAATGTGACCACTGGACATCCGAGGCCAACTGTGCCATGCTCATCATGGCAGCAGCATGCTCAAGTTCAAAGCCGGCATCTCCAAGAAAGGCACACCTGCGAACACGCACTGGGGCCTACACGCTGCGCCTGAAGCAGCTTGCAGCTCATGGCGGCCGTCAACGAGAGCGATGTTGCCGAGCCTACCTCAGCGCCATGCACTTCCAGATCACTAAGAAGTGAGCAACTGCCTGAAGAAGATCGGCTACAACCTGGCCGCCGTGGCCTTTGTGCCCATCTCAGGCTGGCACAGCAACAATGTGCCTGGCTGGAAGGTCAAGAGGACAAATGAAACGTCACCAGGGTGACTCTGCTGGAAGTCTCTGGACTCTACCCTCCCACCCAGTCGACAAGCCCCTGAGGCTGCCTCTGCACCTGGGATGGTGGTCACCTTCAACCCCACCAATGTCACCTGAGCTCAAGTCTGTGGAGATGCCCCACGACACCTGTCGGAGGCCCCGCCTGGTTGACAATGTGGGCTCCGACATGAAGCATGTGTCCGAGAAGTGGCCGGAGACAGCAGGAACGACTGCGGAGGCTGGCCGGGCTCTGGCACAGGTGATGGTCCTCAACCACCCCAGGCAGACCCACGCTGGCTACGGCCCAGTGCTGGACTGCCACACGGCTCACATCCCCTGAACGGAGGGAAAACACTGACCAGCACTCGGCCACGAGGCTGGAGGACAACCCAAAGCCCTGAGGCCCCTGTGCAGACGGCCCCCAGCAAGGCCATGCGTGTGTGGAGACCTTCTCTGAGTACCACGTCTAGGCCATTTTGCTGTGCAGGACATGACACAAACGGCGGTCCCTGGAGTTATCAAGGCAGCAGATAAGAAGTCATCCCCTGCCAGCAAGGTCCCCGAGTCCACAGTAGTGAAGCATGTCCTCCGCAGTGTCCTCCGCAATCTTCACTAAAAAATTACTCCACATCCTACATATTTACTGAGTAAGGTTAATAAAACTTAAATAGCTGGAAAAAAAAAAAATTAAAAGCCTCACCATTACTAGGTGTCTCTAGGGACTCCTTTGAAGGGCTTCTCTGGTCTTGCTTTTCCTCTGAATTTTCCCTGGACTTTGACAGCCGTTTTCTTAGAGACGTCTTCTCTTCACCCACCATCGTGTTATCTAGGAAGGAAGACATAAAAAGCTTTTGTGGGAGAAGAAAACTTTTCCTTTCTTCCCTTCATACTGGGCTGGTCTGATACTCATACTGACATAAGACGGATTAACTGGAGAAAAACACATTTAATTTCATATGTAGGGGAGCCCATAAAAATATGGGACCAAAGCAGGCAACGCTGTATCTTTTCAGAAAAAGAAACAATAAACATGTGAAGAATTGCTAAGACAAAGGGATTTGGAGTTGGGGTAGTAAATCACTGAAGAAGTAACAAGGTTTGTTAAACCCAGCCTTCTCAGCCCTAAATTCCTTCTGTCTGGTGATAGGGATGTCTTCTACCCTCCTGGTACAGGGAGGGTATGTTTCACATGGGAGACTTACTTCCTGTTTTCAGGAAGACAAAGGAGGCTCAGAGGGTCCTCCCTGCACTGGATGTTAAGTAACCTTGATTCAAAATAATCAGTATGCCAAAGTACATTTTTGGGTGGCATATTTTGCGCCCCTTCATGTGAAGTATCTGACTTAGGCAAATGTCACAATATCACCATATTTAGGGGAGGTGAAAAACGACATATCCTGTTCCTTTTGTTTTACTTTAATCATGTTTAAGCATTTTCTGAGTACAATATACTATAACAAATTCAAAGAAATTAGTCCTTATAAAACAATTGGTTTCAAAGGTCCTTATTTAAACAAAGCCCCCATCCTAAAAGAACAATTTAGTTGAACAAGGCGTAAGTATATGAAAAATTCAGAATTAAATAACAGGGGGCGTCTGGGGGGCACAGTTGTTTGAGCGTCCAACTCTTGGTTTCGGCTCAGGTCATGATCTCAGAGTCTTGAGACTGAGCACCAAATAGGGCTCCATGCTCAACAGGAAGTCTGCTTGAGTCTCTCTCTCTTTCTCCCCCCTCCAATAAATAAATAAATCTTTAAAAAGAAATAATTAGATAATAGAAGGTAAGTACAAAGATGCTACAAAGTAGGGTAGAATTAACAGTCAAGTCAATGGTAAAAACAATACCTGAAGTTCAGAGATAAAAGAGCTCATGAAGAGATGCAAGGTTTCATAGAAAAGAAGGTATTTGAACTGAGTCCTGAAGGATGAGAGCAGAGCACTCCACGGATGAGACAGGGTTAAAACAAGGTCCTTCCAAGCCCTGTCGGGGGACCATGACTAATCAGACTACTTTAGTAGAGGACAAGAAACAAGCTTTTGTTGAGTAGCTCAAAGTTAGAGGACTCCACTGGGTGCTTTACATTTTCTCATCTAATCTTCGTAACTCTGCAAAAAAAGATGTTATTAATCGCAGTTCATATATTAAAAAAAGGCTCAAACTGTACTGTCAATGCCCTCTGCCCACACACCAGGAACATACCTATAGTTGAACAAGTTGAATTTATTAAGAACACGCACCAAGGGAAACTATGGGGAATCTCAGAATATCAAAAATGACTTACTTAGGTTTTGGGAATTGGCTAGGTGATTTTTTGGAAGAGTTCAAAGAAGAAGGGGTTCACTCTAGTTGGGTACTGTCAGAAAGTGGGAGCAATTCTATGCCTGGGTATATCAACAAATCTCTTTAGGGAGGCTAAAGCTGTAACCAGTAGAACAGCAATAATCATTCACACTATAGCCTGGAGAAAAGGATGTTGGCTATTTTGTGACTTGGACAATGTTCATGTTTTGTCTAGGTCAAGACATGATTATGGCATGTTCTTATTTTTGTCTTGATCCATTTTGGTCACAGTAGCCTTGTCTGATGGTGATATTCAATGAAATTGTTTATGTTCAACCCAGGAACACCAGGAAGACCCAGATGTTAAGTGCCAGGCTAGCTCACAACATCAAGGCCAGCTGACGGTACCAGCACAGCTCCGGGATGCCAAGGGCTGTTCTTCTCCTGGCAGTAACTCGCCCAAGACCACACAGGGCCAGATTTGGACCTGGCTCAGATCCAAACCACAAACACCATTAACTCTCTGAATTTTTTTTAAGTTGGTAACAGAGAAATGGGAAAGGGGAAAAGACTAGAAAGGAGAGCCAGAGTTAAACTATAAAGGTCTAAGAAAGGAGGATTTTTTTTCAGCTAGGCAGTGGTGAGCCATTCTAAGCACTGAAAAATAGGATCACAGTCAAATTTTAGGCAGATCAATATCAACACAGTACAAGGTTGACTCCAAAGCAGTGTATGACTATGTTTTCATTAGTCTGAGGCAAAAAGAAAAATAATGAAGTCCTCATACATAATTTTTAAAGCTACATATTCTTAAATTCTAATATTATGGTGTTTCTAAACTTTTAAAATGTCCTTTCCAGTATGAAATGTAGTACATGGTGAGTTTGTTTTCTTAAGTATCCCTCCTTAGCAATGTAAACATCTGACTAATCTAGATCATTTCCCTTCTAATTTTTTCAGAAATCAAACAAATGAAACAATTATGGATCAGGTTGAAATTTTTGGAGACCAGTAAGATCCAATTCAGAGGAACCTAGGAAAGAGGTCAGGGCAACTGATGAAGTTAAAAGTGCTTTGTTAACGGTGGCAGAAGAAGCCAGAAGAGCATCTAACCTCTCCAACAGAAAAGAGAAGTGACAACACACAACTAAACTCTGGGGGATGCGCTCAAAGTAAGACATCAAGAAGTAGAGAAGAAATCAGGGAAGAAAACAATAGAGATACAAAGATGCACAAAAGAACCAAGATGTTCCGGGAGGCCTGGGGTGGTTCAGTCGGTTAAGTGTCTGCCTTTGGCTCAGGTCATGATCACAGGGTCCTGGGATCGAGTCCCGCCTAAGGCTCCCTGCTCAGCGGGGAGCCTGCTTCTCCTTCTGCCTGCCACTCCCCCTGCTCATTCTCTCTGACAAATAAATAAAATCTTTAAAAAAAAAAAAAAGAACCAAGATGTTTCAAAAAGGAATTATACAGGGGGTAATGAGGAATTAAAAAATGATTGTACTTTTTTTTTTTTTTTGCATCTGAAAAGGGACATGACGGGGACTATACTTTTGCATGTTTATGTGCTTCACGTGTATTTTAATCTCAATATAATCTGTAAGGCAGATATGTTATTTTATTCCCCAAATACGGTCTTTGGTCACCATGTCTCTCCCTATAGTCTTTCCCATCTCTAGAACGCCGTTTCCCCTGTGCCCTTTATCTAGCTAACCCAACCCGCCCAGCAAAGTAAGGGTCACAGCTGCAGCAGCAGGAACACCAGTAACAACACAGCTTTGATTTAATGAACAGCTATTACGTACCTACCAGATACTGCACTGCCAAGTCCTTTACATTGTCAATCTTTACAACCGTAAGTGGCAGGTATTAGCCTCATTTTACAGGTGAGAGAAATACAGTTCAGAGGGAATTTAACTTGCCCGAATCATATAATTCTCCAACAGCAGAACTGAGATCCAACACCAAACCCAGGGATTCCACAGCCTAGCCTGTAATCAGCAGATGACCTCGAATGACCTCCCATGCTGAGGTTTCTCTGACCACCATCTCTCACGTCACCCCCTCCTCTGCGGTCCCACTACACTCAGCGACACTATCTGCCTCTTACACTAAGCATAAGCTTCTCCAAGACCGGGACGAAATGGCATTTTCTCTTTGAAACCCTCAAATCCAGTGAGGGAGTATCTGGAGCATGACAGGCATGCAGTAGTACAGAGCTATCAGTTAATATGACCAGTTATTCTAACAGGATACAGTGCTCCTCACAGAGAATCACGAGGAAAACATATGCTGGGAGGATGATAACAAGCATCATCTTTACTGTGAACAGCTTTCTACATCCTACTCATCAAGATCTATGACAACTGTTTTGTTTTGTTTTTTTTAAGATTTTATTTATTTATTTGACAGAGAGATAGAGAGAGCACACAAGTAGGCAGAATGGCAGGCAGAGGGAGAGGAGAAGCAGGCTCTCCCCTGAGCAGGGAGCCCGACGTGGGGCTCGAACCCAGGACCCCAGGATCATGACCTGAGCCAAAGGCAGCCGCTTAACCAACTGAGCCACCCAGGTGCCCCTATGACAACTGTTCTTCATCGGGGGTGGGGAGGGGTCCCCTAGACTTCTAAGGGTATGCAAAAACTTCAAATATTTCAGTAATTGAAATAATTACATATTTTATCACATAAAACAAGTTGTACAGGCTGACTAAAACAATGTTACTTTGCTTTTGGCTGATACTATATCATGCTGATTACATGTCGATTAAAAGCACTAATTAATGGGGCGCCTGGGTGGCTCAGTCAGTTGAACATCCAACCCTTGGCCTCAGCTTAGGTCTTGATCTCAGGGTCATGATTCAGGCCCCGCCACAGGCTTCATGCTAGTTGTGGAGCCTACTTTAAAAAAGGTGAAAAAAAAATACTTAATAAAAGGGGCACCTGGGTGGCTCAGTCAGTTAAGCGTCTGCCTTTGGCTCAGGTCATGATCCCAGAGTCCTGGGATCGAGTCCCGCGTCAGGCTCCCTGCTCCGCGGGGAGTCTGCTTCTCCCTCTCCCTCTGCTCCTCCCTCTGCTCGTGCTCTCGTTCTCTAAAAAAAAATACTTAATAAAACAAAGTTTGACAAATAAATGCTGTTTAACAGGCAAAAAAAAAAAAATTTAAGCCTGAATACCCTATGGAATGAAAACATTAAGAGAGTTCTTGGTGATGAGACTAGGAGCCAACAACCCAGTCTAGAGAAGAAAGCCTTCTTTCAAAAGCTAAAACACAGGTACTGAGCCTGCACAATTACACTGCCATAGTTTAAATCTACTTATTTTAGAAGTGAATACTAACTTCTTTGGCCTCAATATCCTCTACTTTGCAGGGAGTGAGAATTTCGAAGGCACAGGATTTGGTATCCCAACACTAAGAGGTAGTTTACACCCCTGCTCCATCATATCATTGTGTCCTCGGTAAATCCTCCAACCTCTCTGCATCGGTTTCCTCATCTAGAACATGAAGATAAATACTACTGCACCGAGCTACAACAAAAGAAGACAATATACACTAAAGTGCCATCATTATTAATAACCAAGTTTGCAAAATTAACCAAGTAATCTGATACCTACATATCTATCTCCTATATGATAAATGGCAGTCAAACAAACCATATCATCCCTCAAATTCTAGTGTTTGCTTTTATGATGTACTAGATGAGGACAAATAAAGGGCCGTATTTATATACTTTCTCAAATGCAGCTCAAACACCATGCGGCTTCCAAGAAAATATTAACAAATTTTATTATTGTCATATATACAGATGTTAGGAAGGACAAATTACTTAAAATGGTTCACCTCAGGGCACCTGAGGGGCACACTTGGTTAGGCATCTGCCTCTTGGTTTCAGCTTAGGTCATGATCTCAGGGTCGTGAAATCGAACCCTACGGCAGGCTCCTTGCTCAGTGCAGAATCTACTTGGGGTTCTCTCTCTCTCTCCCTCTGCCCTTCCACCCCATGCTCTCATGCTTGCTATCTCTCTCTCTCTCTGGAGTAAATAAATCTTAAAAAAAATAGCTCACCTCAATTTTGATCAAATCCTCAGATCATGTGAATCATAAGATTATGAGGGTACATCTGAACCTCACTCACTTCCCCCCCACCACCACTAATTTTTCTACACTTCTCTAACTTCAACATCCATGTACAAAGATCCATCCAATACCCTGGGGCCTCCCAGCTCCTTGACTTTCTGTCTCCAGAAAGCTGTCCTTATGTTCCAGTCATACCTTCCCCTAGAACTTACTGTTAACCAACAACTGCACCATGTCCATAATTCTGATTCCCAGCAACTGAACCACTGATGTTCCCTCCAATTCCATTCTCGCAGTCTTCCCCATCTCAGACCATGGGACTAGCAGTCACTCTGCCCAGATTTGGAAAAAAACCTAGGAGTCATCCTTAATTCTTGACTTCCCTTTATCCAATCCAAAAGCAAATCCATCTTACTCTGCCTTCAAACTAAATCCCCAACTGTGAGGTCTTCTCACCACATCCACCACATTCACCAGAGTCTAAGCACAGTCCTCTCTCACTGTAGTAGCCTCCTAACTGGTCTGTTTTCATTTTCTCCCTTCTGCTCTATTTTTTTTTTTTTTTAAGATTTTATTTATTTATTTGAGAGAGAGAGAATGAGAGACAGAGAGCATGAGAGGGAGGAGGGTCAGAGGGAGAAGCAGACTCCCTGCCGAGCAGGGAGCCTGATGCGGGACTCAATCCTGGGACTCCAGGATCATGACCTGAGCCGAAGGCAGTCGCTTAACCAACTGAGCCACCCAGGCGCCCCC